TCCTAGGGGGGTCCGGGGGCATGATCCCCCGGAAATTTTGGAAAAATGAATCTTCTAAAATGGCATTTCGTGCGTTTTTGAGAGGATTTCAAGAAAAAATAAGAGATAAATTTTTATTCAATGACAAAGGGAGCATTTTTTCTACGATTCCAGTCTATCTTTTCAAGAAAAATCTTGGACCTTTACATAAAAAGTGGACCAAAAAGTGGACCTTTACATAAAAAGTGGACCTTTGAGCCTTGTGGGGGGGGTTCTTCCGAACCACCACCCCCCCCAGGCTACGGGCATGACTTTAGAATGAGGTGGGCAGCTTCACCGTGTCTTTGTCTTATATGTCATGCTAGCGTGTCTTGAAGAAGTCTCAGAGCCATGGCTGAAGAACTGAACTCCGATGCCGTACCAAGTGTCGTCAGAAACGACTCCTTCAGCGACAGCACAACTGAACCAGGTACCCGAACTGTTCCACCTACCGTCAGGCAAACTGACGAAGATGTTAATAACTACATCTCTGGTACATGTGAGGAAAATGAACACGATGACGATGAACATCAATCTATCCAATGTGGTGCTGCCTTTGAGAACAGGGAGACAATTCATATCAGCCCTGGAGATTTTGATACCTACGCCATTGCATATACATGCAAGGAACATGATACTTGTATAAAGAAAAATGTAGAAGAGACGAAAAGTAAACCGTTCAGGGATCAAACACAGCGTCCAGTAACCACAATGAAAACGACATCCACTTGGCAGGGTGTGGCTCCGTCCAGAATTATACTGATTCTTTCAATGGAAACTATGGTAACATGCGCATACAAGCCAGGGATCCAAATCCAATGTACACACATAAAAGTGTGAACACTTATCCAATACAAGCTGAAAACAAAGTTTCCCCAATCCAATGTACCTGCAAAGCACCAGGGAGGTTTCTAACGCCAGCCCTGGATCCGCTTCCAAGCCAAGTGAACCCTATCAGGAAATAGAAACAGAGTCCAACAGTCGCACACAAGCCATGGATTCAAATTCAATGTGCACACCTAACACTACAACCCCTTATCCGTTGCACCCTAAAAACGACGTCGATCCAGATCGAGTGTACACGCACCTACAAAATACCATAGAGCCTTCTAACGCCAGCCCTGGATCCGCCTTCATGTCTAGTATGCCGAGTGGTGATATTCCCTGCATCCTGACATCAGCTGATACACATCAGCAAGAAGAGCACATGTACCAGAATAATCTAGAATGCAACGCAGCTTTAGCAGATACTCAACCAAAACTACCCTCGCAGGATCTTCCAACAGCAGCCTCAAACGACATCAATGATGTCTCAAGCAACCCATTGAGCAATATCAATGGTCCCCTGGATGCCCTGAATCCAAATCCGTTATACGTGCCAAACGTCCAGAAAAGTGCAGCTTGCGGTAAGAACTTTATGATGAACTTTTTTTATTGTTTCTATTCCTCAACCATCCTTTCAAGTACAGTGTGCGGTAACAACTTTTAAACAACAATTCTACAATAATAATCTATCCCACATTTAGAGCAAAAAGTATTGTGGATGAAATATATTGTTTTCTTGACTTCACCGCTATGTGGTGAAGACATATTGTTCTTCCTCATGTTTCTTCTTCTTCTCCTCCGTCGCCTGCCACTTCTTTAAATTGGTTCAACTCCTTCATTTTTGGGCCAAATAACATGAAATTTGGCATGAAGGTAGAGTGAGCAAATACCCCAGGCCTTTTTTTCATTTTTGTGATACAGGCTTTTAGAATGGTTTTATTTGTGCTTTTTGGCTGTGTTATAGAAAATGTACTATAGCAGTGTGTTACCATATTTGGGTATGAGTCATCAGAATGGCATGCAGAGCAAGCAACCAATACGCGCGGCATGCAGCATTCCTCTATTCTTCTTGCTGATTGGCTGTTGGGATTTGATTGCGTCAACACCTGCACAAAGCCATGCCATATTGACAGTATGAACTGCATTCAAGTGTTTTGGTAGGTATGTCAAGCTTTCCTGCTCCAGCATTGGAATGCGGGGACATAAACGCTTCTTTTTATCTTGAAAATCAACAGTTTGCAGTATGCAATTAAAAATCCTAACTAACAAGAGTTCCGAGATCTCATACCTCCATGAAATATGGGCTTGATATGTAAATGTAAATTTCTTCTTTAATTACGCAAATGACCTCTGCATTAACATAATATATGCATCGTGATGTTAACTTTTGATTAACTTAAAGATGTCCCAAGTATGACATTCCCATCATTCACCATTGAGAAATCATAGATTTTTTGCATTAATTATGCAAATTAGGTCATCATTTGCATAATTAGTATCTGTTGATGTTCCATCTGCCATAGGTTACATACATTACATGTATGAAAGTTCTATAATGTAAAACACTGTAATTATAGAATTTCCTCATTAATTATGCAAATAAAGTCCTCATTTGCATAATTTGCAGTTAATTATGTACATCTCTCTGTCAGATACCTACACACCAAAAATGATGAAAATACGCTGTTCCTATCTGGACTTATTGGCTTTCAAAGATTTCGCCCGAAAGTCCCCTGCAGTTCCTGAACAAGCTGCTAGGGGGACCAAACCCACACCACTTATTCCTGACAGGAAAAGCTCTCTGTCACCACCTGTTTCTCCTTCTTTCCCTGCCATGTCGTCAAATGTGGTGACGCCATCCGCTACACTTACTCCAAAGCAAATGTCGGCCTTTCTAGACATGTTTCTCCTTCTTGTCCTGTCATTTACTCAACTTCTTCATTTCTTAGGTCAAATTACCTGAAATTTGGTATAAAGGTAGAATTGGCCAATACCAATAGTAGGCGAGTGCCAATAGGCATGCAGCATTCTATTTGCATGAAAGGAGGTGTTCGTCTTTTTGGATGTTGAAATAATGAGGTCATTGCTACATAGAGACATCCTGCAACAATTGACAATAGGACGCAACTTCATGTGTTTTGGCATGGTTTTGGTGGGCATGTCAAAATTGTTTCATCTTGAAAAACAGCAATTTGCATTACATGTTTAAAGTTACAACTTTGCATCCAACGCTGAATAAAGTTTTCTCACCTAAAGCTTTCGACCAGGCACTGTAGTCTTCCTTTAGTAGATTGGCCCAATGAGGTTGTCACTTGGCCCCCGTTGCGTTTTACAGAAGGATTATGGGCCCTGATGTAAATAGCATCTTTCACCCCTCTCAGGAAATAGTGTTGTTCTGTGTCCAATATTCTCACAGTGTCCAGTGAAACAAACTGTCCAGGTGAGTCTGTGTGGATTTGTTGTGACACTTCTGAGCTGACTGAACTACGCCGAGAGTGTTCCTGAAGGCTAGACTTCAATGATCTCTCTGTTTCCCCAATGTAGGATTCGTGGCATGGTTCTTTGTTGTTCTTGCTTTGGCAGATGACGCCACACTTCTCCTTGTGGCTTTTGTCCTTGGGTGCAACGAGGAGATGCCTTAGGGATGTGGTCGGTTTAAAGCAAGTTGTAATTCCGTGAGAGTTAAAAAAATCTTTCTGAGGGCTTCCGACAAATCCTTGATGTGTGGAAGGACGATCATTGAACCCTTGGCCTTGATTAGTGTTGAAGGCTGAGTGTTTATTGATCTGTGAAGAGTGGCTTTGTTGATGGCCCACTTGAAGTAGCCGCAGATTTTCAGTGTTTGGGTCAGGTGGGTCCTCTCTGTCTCTAAATCCTATCGGTCTGAAACTATTCACCAGTTTCCCATCCCCGGAA